CATGCACACAAAAAAAAGAGCCACTTACACAGCGCTGTTCGTGTGCATGAAAGCTTAGAGTGCTTGTTTTGAGGGTGCGCTGTTTCCTTGTAAGTCATGAACAACCAACTCGCCCGAACCTCCGTTTTAACAGGTTATTAACCTGACCCAGTACTTAAACCATTCATTTATCGATAGTAAATCTTCCAATATAGTTTTACATGTGAAGGTAAAAAGACACGGAGATTGATAATGATACAGGCGCCAACACCGCCCTCGGAAATTTTTTGAAGATTAGAAATCAGCAGTTTGTCTGCCATCCGCCAGGTAGCGCAACAAAACACCCAAACAGTTTTTAATTGTTTTTTTTAAAATTAGCTAAGATCTACACCTGGGTGATTCCACGTCAGTTCATGCAATGATGGTCCGGGTCATAATTTAGATATTTTTGTTAAAAATATATATGAAAGCCATGTTCTTGGGAGGAACATTCAGCTAGATATGAACGCCGTAACAATTTTTTTCGCAGAGATATAAAATAGAGAAGCTTGAGGCGTGGAAATTGAGAAGATTTCACAATGCTATTTTGCACGGTCGTCATTTCCTTATCGAACCTTTCACGGCACCATAACTTTTTTAATAGGTTTTACAAAAGTTATACAACACATACATAAAAAATTAAAAATATCCATAAAATATTTCAATGCAAACAAAAATATCAAACATGGCACAAAAACGCGTTTTAGAGACATATTCACAATTTTTTTGCAAATAAACTATCTTTCATAATACTTCACAAAACATATCAAAATGCGCGTATTTAAAAATTCTTTACGAATATATAAAGATAATATCCCCACCCTTAAGCATATTTTTGTTATCAACTCGGAAATTCGGCTGATTTCTCAAAATGTGGCAAGATTGGGCGTCGATATTTAAAAAACTCCATCTTTTATTTTTTTTAAACTCCCCTTGGCACTTTACAGTGACTTGAACTAACCTGTGATGGCAAAAGATTGAGTAACATATGACCTCCAAGCGGGAAAAGCTACGACAAACCTTTACTCGGAGCGAGCCGACGTCTTCGTTATAGCGGCTTTTCCGCACAGCACCAAACGTTTGGGCGTTAGTTATGGCATGTATTTGATATTATTAAAATTCTTTTTTTATACGCGGTGAGTATTAGGGACGTGAAAAGGAACTTTGAGCCATTAATTAGCTTACAATTCACAGGAATAAAACGGCCACACTCTGCAAATTCGCTACCTATGCATCATACATAAGCTTAAAACTCTCAGTTGCGCGAATGGCCATGTATACATCTGGCCTCTCGGCATATGATGACTTTCACAGATGAGTTTCCTGGATTGCTTTGACAGGTTTTACGGTGGTCCACTTTGCTTGCTTCACCGCACGAAACTCTCGAACTCGAAGACAGTTGTGAGCACTGCGCAGAGTGGTTTGACGCGTTTTGCGAAGTGCTGAAGGCATGTAGTTCCCACCAGGAACGCAAGCGATTGTGCGTGCTTCTGCCACCAATCATCCTGAAGAAAACAATATTGCGTCTGGTGTCCGGTGCGACTGCCTACATGATTGATCAAACATGAAAACTGAAGCGCAAAGGTGGTGTTTGGGCAACCCCTGATCCCTACATGGGGAAAAAGGCGAAGGCCGAAGATGTGGGGGTTGCAATTGAGTACTACACACGCGACGACCTCGCATGCTCTGTTCAAAGCCCCGACAAAAAGGACGTCGTCAAAGCCATGATCAACGACATGTTCAAAGTCGTAAAAAGGTTTATGACCCCCTCTATTAAGGAAGCTTACCAGCTGTTTAGGAAGGACCATCCCCAACCCGAACTAGGCATCTCCAAATTTTATTCCCTACGACCAAAATGGGTAAAAAAAAAGTCCCGAGCACGAGTTGTGCGCATGCATATATTGCGTCAATTTTCAGTTGCTTTTAACGGCAATAACAAATGCCCCAAAGAAGACATTTACTGAAGACGACCTCAAGCGCATCTACCTCTTCTGCCCTCCACAGAACGATTGCTTTCTGCGCCGTTGCGAAAAGTGCCCAAAAACGCAGAGCATTTCGCTGCAGTCGCTTCATCTCGACGAAGACGAAGAGATCTGTTTCGCGTTATGGGACGCTGGCGAACTCGTCAAAAAGGTTATGGACACTTCTGCCTTCCTGCGGCAATAGGAGAGCGAAAAGTGTATGAGGCATTCTTACATCCTTGACCTTGAACGAAGCCTGATACATGACACAAGAACCGCCTTACCACCCAATGCAGTGATGTTCCACTTCGATTTTGCGGAAAAATGGACAGTACCCTTTCCAAGCGAAGTGCAGAGTTTTCATTGAAGTGTGGTTACGTCCACGCAAGTGTGGTTACGTCCACGCAAGGCACGCAAAGCTTTGCCGTTGTCACCGATGGTACACGACACCTGACACAGCTCACGCTCTTCTAGCCACATAGGCCATAAAAGAGTATGTTAATGTTCATTTCCCAGTCTTTTTTGAAATAATTTTTGTATCAGACGGAGCGGCGGCGCATTTCAAGAATCGCTTCCAATTCCACAAATTGTCTCGGAAGCCGCACTCTTCGGCAAGATGGATCTTTTCAGCCACTGGACACGGAGAAAGCGCTTGTGATAAAGTAGGTGGAAGAACCAACGCTCACCAAGTTGAGATCTTCGCTCAACTCATCGATTGCCACCGCTAAAGACTTTGTGGAAGTGCTACGTAAAAAAGTAACAAATGTCTGCATGTTCCACCTGTCTGTGGAACGGGTTCGAGAGTTTCGTGCGGTAAAGCAAGCAAAGTGGACCACCATAAAACTTGTGAGAGGAATCCAGGCTTCTCATCTGTGGAAGTCATCATATGCCGAGAATCCGGATGTATACATGGCCACTCGCATAACTGAGAGTTGTAAGCTTATCTATGCATAGTTAGCGAATTCGCACAGTGGGGCCGTTTTGTTCCTGCGAATTGTAAGCTAATTAATGGTATTCCACCTCAAAGTCCATTTTCGCGTCACTAATACTCAGCCCTTATGAAAAAAAGAATTTTAATAATATAAAATACATCCCATAACTAACGCTCAAAACGTTTGGTGCTGTGCGGCAAAGCCGCTGTGACGAAGACGTCGGCTCGCTCCGAGTGAAGGTTTGTCGTAGCTTTTCCCGCATGGAGGTCATATGTTACTCAATCTTTTGCCATCACAGGTTAGTTCAAGTCACTGTAAAGTGCCAAGGGGAGTTTAAAGAAAATAAAAGATGGAGTTTTTTAAATATCGACACCCAATCTTGCCACATTTTGAGAAATCAGCCGAATTTCCGCGTTGATAACAAAAATATGTTTAGGGGTGGGCCTATTATCTTTATATATTCGTAAAGAATATTTAAATACGCGCATTTTGATATATTTTGTGAAGTATTATGAAAGATGGTTTATCTGCAAAAAAAATTGTGAATATGTCTCTAAAACGGGTTTTTGTGCCATGTTTGATATTTTTGTTTGCATTAAAATATTTTATGGATATTTTTAATTTTTTGTGTATGTGTTGTATAACCTTTGTAAAACCTATTAAAAAAGTTATGGTGCCGTGAAAAGTTCGATAAGAAAATGACGACTGTGTAAAGTAGCATTGTGAAATCTTCTCAATTTCCACGCCCCAAGCTTCTCTATTTTATATCTCAGCGAAAAAAAATTGTTACGGCGTTCATATCTAGCTGAATGTTCCTCCCAAAAACATGGCTTTCATATATATTTTTAACAAAAATATCTAAAATATGACCCGGACCATCATTGCATGAATTGACGTGGAATCACCCACCTATTAGAAAACCCAAGCAAGATCATTCTGAGAATCTAATACATCGCAATGTATATCCATTCTAAACAATAAATGTTTTTAGATGCCAATAAATCTGTTTTATGTCCAAAAAAGATATGCGTCAAAAACAGGTAAGATTGAAGGGCTCTTGGAGAGTTATGACTTTGAAAATGAAAAAAAGCCATCGTCCACCTCTTGGGCAACCATTGTAGCTCTAAATGCTATAAAGGATTTTATCATAGTTTAATTAGTTCCTCAGCGGCATTTGAAGTACCATGACTCGAAGCACAAAAAAGTGGTACGTTTGATATAAAATATCTAAAAAAAAAAATTCACACAACATTTAATTTTTTTTTCTGCATATTACCAATTATAAGCACTACATGTGTGGCTAATTTCATTGTCCTAGCTCTTGTCATTAAAAAATATTTGTGCTGATAAATGTCAATTTTAGGGCAATATTTGGAGGAATGAAAAAAACAAAGTAGTGCAAATACCAAAAACGTGTATCGTTACATTCTGCTCCGACATCATCTTAACAAAACTGCTATATTGGAATCGTGTTATCTTTAATGGATCGTTCATAAAACATGAACTAGCGTAGCGAGTGAGGGTCCGCGCCATCATATTTGCAACATTACAAATGCGCATGAACAGTAAACACCAACGCATAGATAATATCAAATGAAAGAGGATTGCATTGCCTTTCAAATGACATCAATCCCACAAAACAGTATTTAAGAGGAGATGAGTAATGACCTGCCAAAAAGTACCTAAACTGCCACATTCAGTGGAACCGTGGCCTTAAAATGCACTTTATATCAAATCGACAAAAGCATGAGGTCATTAACGTTGTTGCATTGCACGTTGCGACGTGCAATGCAACAACGTTAATAAATTTGATCTGAAATGGAGGTGTTGTAGTTTATGAACTTTACATCTTAACCGCTTCAGCTCAAAACAACTGAGCCGCCGGCCTAAAGTTCTTCCTAATTTTGAGTGAAAACGGCTCTCTAAAAAAAGTAAAAAAAACCTGAACACACTTTAAATGAAAACTTACACCACATTTACCTTTACTTCACCTTTACTTAGTTATTTTTTATCCATTGACCCAATCCTTGGGGAGATACTACAAAAGCCATCGGAGGTTCAAACGACTGTTTTTCAGACTCGCGTCACATTACTGTGGCACCGTGAAACACCTCTTAGACGGTGGCACCAAGTGTCGTGGTAGTTCCGTAGGCAAATCGTGACCTGCCAACTTGATGTTGATCAGATACATCGCCAGAGCAAACTCATCGGCATCCAGCATGCCGTCTTTTTCAATGTCGGAGAGCGTCCAGATCTTAGCAAGGACAGAGTTCGGCAGCTTGCTCTTCATCATCTCTACTCTAGCAAGCGCTCCCGAGATCTTGCCATCCAAGGGCGACATGACACTGAAGAGTTCGTCATACTTAAATCGCTCTCTATCGACAACCCAGTCCTCTTGTAGAGAACCGGCATCTACGCCCTCACCACGTCTGAAGCCAAAGGGGTTATGCTCGTGGCCGTCAAAGGCCCCACCCCGCACGACGGTGTCTTCGCTCTGGTCCGTCTGCTCTTTCGGAATCATCGCAACGAGCTGCGCAATGTCGTCTGCCATCATTTGGTTTACAGACTCCAACAGCTGTACTTTGAGCCCATGAAACTTGGTGAAGTCATGAAGCGCCAGCTTTTCCTGCATCTCGCGGAGGTTCGGAAAGTCTCCAGGGGATATCTGATGCTTGCGCTGGATTTCTGCGAAGAGAGAGCCCAGGTCCTTTATAAGCTCTTTCTTCTTACTCTCCTTACCAAACACAGATGGCATTTCCTTGCGTAATGTGCTGACGATGTACGCGTGCACTTTCGCGAGCCTCGCTCTTTTGATGAGGTCGTTCAGCTTTCTCAGAGCCGTATTACGGGGTAGACCCTGTATGTCATTGAACAGGTCCTGTGCCTCGGCTTCGAACAGCCTCCGGTTGGTGTCGTCGTACAACGCGTGGTCCCAGAAAGACCCGATGTAGACGCGTGCCACCTCTGGAGTGTTCAGAACTTTGCTCAGCGACCACATGAGTGCCCCGTAGACTCGCATCAACTGCTGCTGGTCCACCATGTCTGCTTTGTTCAGCACAATGCGGATTTTGTCGTCGTGACCGCGGAGGGCCTCTATACTTCGCCGAAATTCATCCGAGATGTCTAGCTTGTGGGCGTCGAATAGAAGTACAATTCTGTCCACGCGCTCGGCGAACCACTCTAGGACACCCGTGAAGTCGTAGCCGCGGTCTACCCGTTGCTTCTCTCCCGATAAGATGCCGGGTGTGTCAATGATGGTAAGTGTCTGCAGCACGGCGGAATTTACCAAGGAACATTGGAATCGGTTCAAAAAAGCGTTCCCGAACTTTGCAAGAGGACGAAACTGTTTCTTAGCATCGACGACCAAAGCGTTGCCTGGTACGACACCTTCGTGATCGTTGTACATCACGGCGATGAACCCGTCCGTGGTTGGCTCCGGCCCTATTCGCATGCCTGGAAAGTCTCGTTCTAGTACATACCGAATGAAGGTTGTCTTTCCAGTAGAGTACTGTCCCACCAGGAGAATCATCGGCTTGGATTCAAAGTCCGGATCGCAGAGCGGTGGAGAGTGGAAGTCGTGAAAAAGATAGTGCTCTTCAAGTGGCAGTATCTTGGACTTGTATATTTTCTTGAGACCTTCGACCACGGTACTGTAGACATCTGGAGTCTTTTTGAGGCAGTTTTCCCCCTTTTTCCAACTAAACATTTTGAGCTGCCCGTTGTGGTGACGCCTGTTTTAGTTATGTCGATTACAATATATTTTAGCTGGCTTGTTTGTACAACTGAATTTTTGTGGGCGCTTACTAGTGAAATCTTGACAACTGAAGACGTGGTAGCCTTGTGGAGTGTGTGACTATGCCGAGGTCAATAACAGGCAGGTAGGAATAATTAAAGACCGCTCTTTCGTTCGTGTTTTTGTCACATCGGTCCAGCGTTGTTATTCTTCTTCTTCCTTGCTATCTTTGTATTTACATTTTACTACAAAAAGAAAATATTAAAAAAAATGAAATGGAAAAACCATATGAACACCTAGTTATTTAATCTGTTTCACAAACAACAGATATGCTCTGGACTGCGGTGGTTGCACGTGGGGTTGTAGATTTTTTAAACATACAGCGTGCAACTGTGTAACGTCCACAGCCCAGAACGGGCGTCATCGTCAATTTGGAATGCCAGCGAGTCACACGCAATGCACTTATTCCATAAGGGCGCAGCCATCTTTAATGTCGTATTTCTGGTATCCGGTAAAACATCGTTTTGGTCTTTCGGCGGAAGGATTTTAACGAAAAATATGTGATTCTCACACATTCTTGTTTTGCCTCGCCTATATTATGTCGCATGTTCCAGGATGAAATTATTTTTTTTTGTCCCGCATACCACATACAGAACCCACGGGATTGAGAACGACAGGAAACAGAAAAAGTCTATTAGCGATGTGCGTGACCAAAAGCGTTGCTGCGGTCAGCTTTCGCTTTCCACGGTTGGCCAGACCATCGGCATATGAACATTGTCAGGTTGTCAACTTTGACGGTGTTAGTTCCGGTTGCGATGGTTCCTAGCTTCCACTGTGCTTTTTAAACACACCATCGAGCTCGTCGTCGCTGGTGATAAGTAGCCAGGGTAACAACTGGTGACGTCACGGCGAGGCAAACCCAAGGCAAACCCTAGTCGTGACGTCACGGATGGAAGCAATTAAAGGGCGCCACCGAAATACCTCGGCGCTGCACCATATTTGAGAGCGAAGTTTACAGCGGATGCTCAGAACGAGCTCACAATAATAGGCTGCTAAGACCGGCAATCTCGGTGGTGCGGCGTGCAGGTTGCAGAAGAACTGTGGAAGCTCGCTTTCAGCACGCGCTCAGCAGTCGCGCACACAGCTATGGCCGCCAGTAAATACTCCCTGTACGTACGAACTGTAGAAATAGCTCCGACCAGAAACTGGCAAATACATATTTGCTTTAACTGTGTCAACACACAAAGTTAGCTTATAAGATCTCTTATTGCTAAATAATTGAGAACCATACTTGCCCTCCGAAAATTCAGTTATATGAGTTTTATCAGCTAAAAAAATCCGGTTGCTGAATATATTTCATTCCGGTTCCCAAAACAAATCTTCTCGAAACTAAACCGTCAACCATGCCATGGCAATGATAAATGTCTTTTGTTTTTTCTTCACTTCAAGTAGATTAAATGCTGCGGTGCGGGTAGAGCCACTAAATGAGCTTCAGAGCAACGCCACCTCAGCCATCTTGGTGTTTGCGACGATGTCTGCCAGGTATTTGAAGCTTTATCTGAAATTCCAGGAGACGCTTTTAGGTCCTCCGGGGATTAAACTGTTCGCGACAGAGCTAAACGCTATCCCCTGAGCTTCCTAACAGCGTGTCTCTAGTGCATCGACCCCGACACTTCGCTGGCGCGAGTGCAAGAGCATGGATGACACGAGACTAGTCCTTCCGCTGGCCATGCAAGCGCATTACAACGACGAGCCGCTACCTTTTATACTAAAAGCCTACGGCGCGACAGCGCTTAATCCTACGATCTGTGAGTCTCACGCGGTACTTAACATTGGCGTCGAGGTAAACAGGCAAACCTGCGGCATCGGCAGCGGCAGCGCTCAACCATTATGGCTTCAAATCTATACAGTACGAAGAATTTACGCCCAAGGACCCGGCGGCCTTGCCCGGCTATATCGGGTGTCTGGAGTTATTTTTCGAGGCAACCGACATAACTACGCCAGAGAAGAAACGCGCCGTCCTCTGCAGCGTCTCCGGCTCCACAACATACTTCATCTAGGGCCAGCTAAAACAGAATACAAAAGCAAAAAAGGCAAGCTTCAAGAGCACTTTGTCCCTCATCAGCTTGTGATATTCAAGCGATTCCGCGTCTTCAAACGAGATCAACGCCCAAGGGAAACTATTGCGACCTTCATTGCAGATCCCCGACGCTTGACTCAGCAAAAGCTAGGACAACCAATAGATACAATCCAGAGTTTCGGTTCAGCATCCCTTTAAGGTATTAGAAAATGCAGAACATCTTTCTATCCTTGTTTAACTTGTTACTTATAAGTAACTGAAAATCCGTACACGACTAAGTATTTCTCCTTTTATTTTCATGACTACATACAATGCGCGTCATCGTAGCTCACGAAAAGTTCACCGGTTGAAAGATATTCAAAAAGGTCTTTATACCATAAGTATATAATGTCAAATATTAGAGGCAATAATAGTCGAATGTTTGTTCTTATTCATCTTGACTAAATGATGCCCAAATAAGAAACGGCCAAGATCCTTTGACATCTGCGGGTTCAAAAATTTTTAGTGGCCTTGACAGAGCCACGTTTAAATTCCGCTTTTCTCGGCACCAAAGACAGCATCTCAAATATCGCCTTCCCCTCTGTCCACAAAGGCGACGACTTGCGCCTCATTTACGTTCGAGAACGTTTCAGATCTTCCGTCCGCTTCTGCTTCAATCATATTGGCTTCCCTTGTAATAGGCCGTTGACTTCTTTTATTGACTCCACCCTGTTGGAAAAACGTACAAGAAACAAACCTGCTGCTTGTACAGTTCGGGTATGACACCACCATACTTTCTTGTTATTATGTATGCAGCTAGTTTGGTTCGGCTTTCTGCATAACTGGAGATACCGGCACCGCTATGGCTCCGGGTCTGCCTATACTGGCAGCCAGTTTGCTTGCCGATATGATTCGGTGTGCTGGTATGATTTTGCGGCCGATGACGTAAGCGACCGCCATCTTTCCAACAAAAAACGCTTATACCACACCACCACCGTTATATCCAAATCATACATGCAGAAAGACGACCGCCATCTTCCAACATAACGTCCATCGTTTACCACCGGTATCGTTACATACACCATACATGTCGAAAAAGAACATAAGCCGCGTTCACATGAATGCGACTTAGTCGTATTGAATTTAGTTGCCGCATTCCATATGCGGTCATGTAAACGGCATAATGCGCAAAGCGCATCGCATTAAAGTCGCTAGACAGAGGTGGATCGAGATGTCGAGTGCGCATTCATTCAGCCCATGTAAACGGAGATCGGATCGCATTTTGGAACGGGGAGGATTATCGGAAGGCGCTCGCTGCGGGAACGAGTCAACAGCTGAGAACATGGAGGCGGCCAATCTCGTCGGCGGCGCGGAGAGCGGTCCCGCAATTTTTTTCCCGAGAACAAACGCAAGCTTTTATTGTGATCATAACTAAGCAGAATATAGCGGAGCTGCTCGGTGTGGGCGGCCCCGTCCAAACCTTTGCGAAGTACGACTTGCGTGTCCGAAGGGGTCACAAAGACATCGGTGCCAGCACGAACGACACCGAGAGCCCTGAGCACTGTTGAGCACTGCATGGTAGCGCAGAACGAGCAGCTCCTACCTCGGTGCCGTTCCCGGCTGCGCAAGAGCCTCTCGGACTCGGGGTACGGTCGCGATCGGCGAGTTCTGGCGCGGCGAAACGCGGAGGCTTCCTCAAAGCGTGCGCACACATGTCGCCTCTCGTTCAGAGTGAACCGGCGGCCCGGCCTGGAGTCCTAAACGCCTTGGTTTCGATGCTTCTTCCGTCTCGCAACTTCTTCTACAGCACCGAAGACAGCGGGCACCATCTTTACGGTCACTAAATGCGTCGAAAGGCCTCCACGTGCGATGCACCGGAAAACGTGGTGCGGCTGGTGCCGGAACGGAACTGCGTAACTTCGAGCTTTGAGTCAGCGTGCACGGCAACAAACCGATCGTGACACCAAGCCGCGGATACCGCATCGCCGGTCGACAGCGGCAAACGGCCCGTTGCTCGTATCGTGGGCCGTGACTCGTACTCGGCCAACTCGGCGTCTTTTCGTGGCCCCTCGCGTCGTCGCTACCAGCCGCAAACCCGGCGTCGGAGAAAAGCGAAACCGAAACGTAAAGCTTCCGCCCAGTGGCTTCCGCTGTCGCGCCTTTTCTGACTTCCCGGCTTCCACGCTTCCGGTCGTCGCGGAGATGGCGACGTAGTGGTTTTGGCGGTTTTGGCATCGCTGGCTCGTTCTGCGTTTTGGGGGACAGATGTTTTACGGTCCGTTTCTACTGCGTCTCTGGCTCTCAACTCGACGGCGCCTCTCATAGTTCAACCAGGCGTGGTCAACCTGTGTCAGGCCGGCTCGACTCGTGCGATCGCCGGACCGCAGGCGACTTCCCAGTTCAGCCGTGAGGCCTAGGATCCGAAGACGTCTGTCTCCGTGAAGCGGTAAGCGAATCTCGTCCCGTTTTCGTTCTACTTTTAAATTACGTTAGGTGCGCTACAGTGTAAGCATGCGTGCCAAGTGTTCGTAACAATTTTGAACTAGAATAATTGTGCTTCATTGCGGTTTGTCATTTACGGAAAATATAAATCGAGCAATGAACGAGGAGCCATACTTGAAAACGATGCATGTACGATGTTAACTTCTACCTTGGCGGCTTTAAAAAAAAGTCAAGACTGGTTACGGTTGGATGCGAGGCTGGTCCCAATGCAATGGTAAGCACTTAGAGCGCCTTTCTGAACGGCATGTAAGCAATATAGCGATCAACGAGACGAGCGACGGCGAGAAGCTACGAGTGCCGGCGCCGAGCGCCGAAGATTTCTCACTCTCGCTGCTTGCGCCGCTCAATTCTTGGGCTTCTAGAAAACGTCGCTCATCGCCTCGGTCGCTCGCACCAATCGCTTTCATAATGT